GCATGGTAGCACACGCCTGTAGTCCCAGCTACTTGGAAGGCTGAGACAGGAGGATCACTGAGTCCAGGAGTTTGAGGTTGCAGTGAGCTCTGATGACGCCACTGCACTCTAGCATGGGCAACAGAGTAAGACCCTGTCTCAAAAAAGAAAAAAGAAATAATAAAAAATGGATACTTGGTCTACAAAGTGGAATACTATACAGCTGTCAAAACTAATGCTGTAGATTATAGATGTCTATGATATAGCATTAAATAAAAAACAAGTGTGGTGGCTTATGCCTGTAATCTCAGCACTTTGGGATGCCAAGAGGATCACTTGAGGCCAGGACTTTGAGACCAGCCTGGGCAACATAGGGAAACCCTGTCTCTACAAAAAAAAAAAAAAAAAAAAATTAGCTGGGCATGGTGGTGCTCACCTATAGTCCCAGCTACTCTGGATGCTGAGACAAAAAAATCACTTGAGCCCAGGATTTTGAGGTTATAGTGAGCTATGATTTCGTCACAGCACTGCACTCCAGCCTGGGCAACAGAGCAAGACTCTGTCTCTAAAAAAAAAAAGAAAGAAAAAAAGAGAGAGAGAGAGAGACAAAACTAAAATAAAAATAGGGAAAAAAGATAAAAAGATGCATGTGTATTCTTGGGAAGCTAAGGATATGATTCCAAAATTCCCTTTGAGCTGGTCATATATAATATACATGTACATTAGATTAGATAATATACACTGGTCCTATATGTATATTTTTCTGCAAGTATGCATGCTGAATTGGAAATCAGATCATTTTAAGTTAACTTTTATCTATTTTTAAACTAAAAATAGGGAGGAAAATAACTACAGTAATAAAGTTCCTTCTCATTTTCAAACTTAAGAAGTGCCATTATATTTCAGCAGTCTGCAGACTGGCTAATCCATCAATGAGTCCCATTTTTGTGTATGAATATATTATACATGAAATCCACTTTACCTATAGAAGAAAAATGTTTAGTATTGACTGGCTTAGAAAATACATCAGGAACCTGAACTGAAGCAATTAGCTCGTGTTATTTCTTCAAAATCACAAAACAGTGAAAAGAATGACATTATTATCTCAACATGATAGGCATTCTCAAAAAAGAGTAAGCCTTTAAAAAGGTATAAAATCCAGGCCATTACTCAACCAAAAGCTTGTCAAATCACCCTTATTCTCAAGTTAAAAGCCACTGAACCAGCTCTCTGCATTTTAATTATCCACACATTCACTTATTCATGGCCTGAAGAACCATCAATAACAACATTTCTGCATTCAGTGGTACAAAGGCACTCTGCCCCTCAATATCATATCGTGCCAACAGATAGTTCTAGTCCTTCTTAGACTTTGATCCCATACAGGTCTTTCCTATATATACGGCTCCGTTAGGGGAAGCAGAGCTGCACTACACAGGAATCCTCCCCTGTGAGATCTCACCAACATCTCTTATTTCACCCACACATCTCCTGTTTTCCATTTTACATACGATTCCCCTCATATCTTCACCTTTCTTTCACTTACCCCCAACCACACCCAAGGAAAAGAGATTTTGGTTTTAAATAATGGAATAGTGGCTACAAGGGGATGAACTTCAGCAGGTTTTCAAGACCAGTGGGAAGCAGAAGAGGACCTGAGAGACTGGACAAGGGCAAGGATACTGCACACTACCCTAATTCCCTTTGAAAACCCTCTGGCTCAGCTTCAGACAGGCAATGCAGTTTTACTGGATGATGCTTTGAATTGGCCTTCAACGTTTGATTACTATATTGTCTTCCTCCCCAGTGACAACGCAAAGCTAGTATTGAGTTAAAACTACTTTGACATGAACTACAAGATGTGGAATTGGCACCTCTTAAATTTACCACTTTTCTCCATGAACTAGGGTGGAAAAGTGAAATGAGAGCAAAGGCTCCATCATAAGGAATGGAATAGGTAAAGGAAAACAGAGACATTGAGTCTCTTAAAATAATGTGGGAGCTGTTTCTGTCAGGAATAACATGTTACGTAATTTGAGTTTCATGAATCAGCAGTTTAGTCAGTAATTTACATGAATTTAAAAAGAGAGAGAGAAAACATAAGGATTGGAAAAGGTAAAGTGATTTCTGAAACAAGGCAGGTTTCAAAAGTATTTTATTCCACTCCCACACAGAAGAACGTTGACAGGCAGATGACTCAGTCTGGCTTCATTATGGGTTTCTTACCACCTAAGATCTCTCATGGGAAAGGCCATCCTATCTCTCCTTTCTCCCTGATAGTCCTTCTCAATTCCTCCCACCAGGTAATGGCCATATTTTCCTTTCTAATTGAAGGTTATCCATCTGGAAATCACATACTTCAGGATACAGAGGGTTATGCTTAAAGGATAAAAATAGTTGAGGATATTTTTGTTTTTTTTTTTAAGTCCCTTTATGCTAAAGTAATTGCAACATTCCAAAAAAAAACCACACATAGTAATATAAGACTCTTCAAAAAAATTTATACTACCTAGGATCCTTGTGTTTTGAACTTGATCATAAATCTAAGTAGCTTAGATAGTTTAAGAAAGCTGTCAACATAAACACAAACATCATGTTTCCAACCTAAATTCTCAAAATCAAAATCAAGGTAAGATATTTGAGAGGGGGGAAAAAATAATCAACCTATTTTCTTTTTCAAAAACCAGCGATGACAAATCCTAAGAAATAAATCCAAAGGGCATGCCCATCCTTTTTGTAGAAAATGTGTTTTATCAGATAGTGTTTGAAATGAGAGAAGCATTGGATTAGGCCCGGAAATCTCTTAGGCATAAATCAATTACTATGGTATTTTGAGAGACATGTTTTGAAAGAGCAAGCTATCTGAAGCTACTTGGAGTCATTCATTCCTCAAATATCTATTACAAGGATGCACATGCCAGGCACAGCCCCATACATACTCTCTATTCAAGCTCTGCCTCTCATCTGCTGTGCAATCGTGGCTAAAGCATTTTAATATTTCTATGCTTCAGTTTCTTCATATGTAAAAATGGGAATAAAAAAATGATTGAGAGACCAACCTCACAAGGTCTCTCTGAAGAGCAAATGAGTATGTTTGGAAGCACTTTGTAAATCATCAAAATGCTAGGTGTCATTTGGCTGAATTAAATTCATGAATGATGATAATGTCTGTTGTGCCACAAATTACATCAGAGGAACATGAGCCTTCCTGCTTCAAGAGACACCCATAATCCTATTAAATAAGACTTATCAGCTCATTTAATCATCTCCTTGGAAATTTAAATATATCAGAGAGAGAAAAAGGAAGGAGAGAGGGAAAAAGGGAGAGAGGGAGGGAGAAAGCTAATATGATGTGCAGATTTTGACATTACATTCACCATGATCACAACAAAAATCATGTCTACCTTATTCACCATTTCAGGTCTCTACCAATCTGGGTAGGCAGCCAAGATGCTCATTTGAAGAGGGTACTTTATTCTAAAAAAATATTCTCTCCATATATCTGCAGATCACAAAATGGACACCTACGAGGCTGACCTACCAATTCAATGTTACCAAGAGCAAATGGCAGCACACTTACAAAACATTATTTATGTTGATGTGTACAAATAAAAATGTTCTATTTCATAGTACAATTCAAGTTCAATCTGACCCTCAAATCTAAGCTATGTCATATGAATCATGTTCAACAGATTAGGAATGAAGCTACTTTCAAAAACAAAATTAGGCGTGATGCAGTGGCAGTTGAAGAAGGGGAAGTTCTGGTCTTTCCAGAGTTATCTGATGGGCACAACGGCGGATGAGAGAGACCATCTTACAGAAGCTGCTAAAGATCTGGCAGAGACCTACTTAGAACTGGTGGAATTCCCTGAGTTCCAGACTCCCTTCCCCCAGGGAAATGCAGGGATGACGGCCTGTCTTACTGGAGTAGTAGCCAAGGGGGCCAGAAGGCACACCCAGTCCTAAAATATGTCTGAAACTTCCTCTAATGTCTCTAGCTCTTGCAATGACATTCCAGGAATGAAAATATGCACAGCCTCTTCATTGCTAGAACCGCTATAATTTAACATTTTGAGTTAAGAATTTGAGTTAATATTTATAAAGCACTTAGAAAGAGTCCAGCACATAGTAAGAGCTATCTAAGTGTTTGGTAAACAAATAAAACACCAGATTGGTTGGGTAAAATCTCAACCTAGTGAGAAGGAAGAGAATCAAAATACACAACAGTTTATTTTTCACCTTGATCAAAATGTAAAAACTGTGGTGCTCTTGCATCTCGAATGCACCCTGTATAAACTTGTGCTGGTTTGAAATTCTACTCGTGGTTCAGAAGTCACTGCAAAATTCAGTGAAAGACTTTTAAGTTCAAAAGATTAATCCTTTATCTTTTCTATCTTTTGACTAACCATCCCTAAAAATGACAAAATCTAGAAATCTCAAAGTTAGAGGGTACATACCAATGCCAAAACTGTGAGAATTAACAGAACTAGATTCACTTGAAGAGACGGAAAAGATTCAAATCAGAGAGCTTAAAAGTAGCAACGCATTAAAGTCTCATACTCCAGGTCCGCTGACAACAGGTTAAAGATTCCTGTCCACCCCACTCCTGCGACCGCCCGCATCCTCGCCCTCGCAAGTGACCCGCACCCACTTTCAACCTCAGGTGGGGTCTCCCACCCTTGGCGTTCCTCCCTTCTTTGGGCTCGGGGGCTGCGCACAGGTTAACAATGTCCATGCACAGACACCACACGGGTGTTCAGCAATCTCAAAGCAGATCCGAATTCACGCCGAAGGAACAAAGGACCACAAACTCTCCCAAAGTCGGGGGCTGGGAACAGGTATTGCTTTCTCCCGGCCGATCAACTCCGAGATTTCCGGGGAACCCGGGAAAGTCACGTTAACGCCGAGGAGAGACAGCAGCCGAGGCCCGGGCCGCCCTCGCCCCGCCCCGTCCCCTCCCGCGCCAGGGCTCCGACAGCCGCCCGGGCGCGCGCGGACCCTCCTGCCTGCCCCGCACCTACCGGCTCCGCGGTGCTGCCTCCCCGCGCGGCGGGCGCGGAGCCCAACGCCCTCGCGCTTCCTCCTTCCCGGCAGGGCCGCCGGGCGCCGGCGTTTCCTCCCTGACGCGTCACGGCCGCCGGCGGCTCCTCCCGCGGAGCGCGCGAGGCGGAGGAAAGCCGGGCGGCCGGCAGCGCGCCCGGGAAGGCGCCCGCTCCGAGCGAGGGGCGCGAGCGCCCGAAACTGCGGGCTGGGGGCAGCCGGCGCCGCCAGGGGCTGCAGGCGCGCACCCCGGCTCAGGCCTGGAAACCAGCCCTCCTCTCTTCCGCGGGACCCCCGCGAAAGGCCGGGCCGCGGCGCGCGGTCTGCCCCCGTCACGCGGTGTGCAAAGTTCAAGACGACACCGCTGGATCCTGCCTAGAGGCGCAGACTCTTCGGTGTTTCCCGCTGCGCAGCCGGTCGATAGGGACCGCTACCCTGGGGCCCAAGATCTGCGACGGCCAAAGCGCCGGGGCGGCCAGTGAAGACGACCTTGGTGTGTGGAGGCAGCAGGACCAATGACCTCCAGAGGGATAAGAGGTCCCTCAGGACTGACCTCGGTGGCATGTGGCTTGGTGTAAACTGGAAACTCAGAGAAGTGAAATAAGTATCCAAATAATTTAAGAGGACAACTATGCTTCGCTTAGCATTATTTGAACAGTTTTCTACTTTTTTTCATCAGCAGAGTTAGGACCTTTGTGTTTATAGGTAGGCAAGAGCTTTCACAAACTGGGAGCTCCTGTGTACAGAGAATTTCCTTTGACACATCTTTTTAGATCTACTAACTTTTTTTTTTTTTCATTCCCATTAATCTCCAAGTCAGCCCAGGGCACATTTTACAGCTTCTTTACTCTTTCTTATTTTTTTAACTACAGAAACTGCATTTTAGACCCATTTATTTATCTTTTTTCCAGATAAGGGAGATATAGAAAGTGAGTGGAAAACTAAGAATTACATGATTCAATGAATGTGGAGTAAAGTGACTAAGATTTTGAAGTAGATTCAGGTATTTTTTTGTCCTACAATGCCACTATAATTTAGGTTTTATCAGATACCACTTGAAGATAGACTCAAACAACTGAAGATTTCTATATGCATATGATGCTTCAGACTTTGAGGCAATGATCTTTATTTACTTCAAATCATTTGACTCCAGAGAATTTGCCACAGATCTATGAACAAATAAACTGCCCAAGGTAATTAGAGGAACTGGGATCTATGTGGGACTTCCCTAAATTTGGGGGACATTTCCTCATATTTTAAAATGATCTTCAAAGATTTAGCTCCACGAGGAAAGGTAAGAATATTCATTTTTAATGTCAATAACTACAATATGGTCTTCTGCTTCTTAAAGAAAATGAATTATGAATCCAAATACTTTTTATACTCCAAAACAATAAACCTACAGAACTTTCTAAACAGTGATTTTCGGTGGCATTGGAAATGGATATAAGACTACAGTAGGGCCGGGCGCAGTGGCTCATGCCTGTAATCCCAGCACTCTGGGAGGCTGAGATGGGAAGATTGCTTGAGCTCAGGAGTTTGTGCTGAGCCTGAGCAAGAGCAAAACCCCATCTCTACTAAAAATAGAAAAATTAGCCAAGCATTGTGACGTCTACCTGTAGTCCCAGCTACTCAGGAGGCTGAGACAAGAGGATCACTGGAGCCCAGGAGTTTGAGGCTGCAGTGAGTTATGATGATGCCAGTGCACTCTACCCAGGGCGACACAGCAAGACTCTGTCTCAAAAAAAAAAAAGAGACTACAGTAGATACACATCAACACATTGCCAATAGTTCTTTATATGTTTTCACTGAGGCGGACACACAAAGCAATCCACACAGAGAAGCTAGAGAAGTTCCTCGTTGTAACAAAATCAAGAAGTGATCAGTGTATTTCTTAATTAAAGCCATATTTGTCTGAAAATTTTCTCAGACAAAGGAAATAAACTCTGTCAATAAACTCTAAGTGTAATGACATCATTCTCACTTTAGAGACAAATACCTGGCTATCAACACATTTCAACTTTTTTTAAAAAAACAAACATACATCTGGGAACCATTACATTTCCAGGATAAATTTGTCTTTCTGTTATGAAGAAGACATGCACACAAATACAGAAAACACCTCCCACAAACTTTTTTTTTTTTAGAGACAGCGTCTCACTTTGTAGCCCAGATGGGAGTGCTCTGGCTTGATCACAGTTCACTGCAGCTTCCAATTCCTAGGCTCAAGTGATCCTCCTGGCTCAGTCTCTCGAGTAGCTAGAACTACAGGCACACAACACCACACCTGGACAATTTTTAAAAATTTTTTTGCAGAGACAGTGTCTCACTATGTTGCCCAGGCTGATCTCAAACTCCTGGCCTCAAGATGATCCTCCCGTCTTGGCCTCCCAAAGTGCTGGGATTACAGGCATATGCCACTGATCCAGGACCCCATAAACATTCGAAGACAAGAAAGGGAGTGAACTACATTCAACTGACAAGAGATTGGGTATTTTGCCTTTATAATCTGAGAGCTGCAACTTAATAGCTTGATTTCTTAGAAAACTATGGGAGCTAAATATATTCACAAACTACTAAGGAATTTTTCACTTAAAATTAATTTTAAGGGCACACTTTAAGGCTGATCACATTTTGAAATGTCTGACTGATATTTATGCCTTTATAAAGGGTTTCATGTAAATAAATTTTAAAAATAGGAAAAGTTTTTTGTCAGACTATGGGTCCCAATTTATTGTTTGGAAATATGATTCTGTTCATTCAGGTAGGGAAAATATTTTTTTCATGTGTTTTATCCATAGTGCAGAGATTATGAACACAAGCTTTGGAATTGGACACACCTAGGTTTAACATCTGGCTTTGCTACCTTTGTACTGTGGGCAAAATATTTTGCCTCTCTGAGCACTGGTTTCATCAGTAATGTGAAGATGATAATAATGTTTTTTCCTCCTCAGTAAAGCAGAGTTAAATGATAATGCTTACCTCATGAAATTGCTATGAGGATCAAAAGAACTTAGTAGAGTGCTGGGAACATAATATCAATTGACTATCATCATCATCATCATCATTATAAGCTCTAAAACAGATAACAATGCCAATATTATGTATATTTCACTTGTAATAGTTTTAAAATGGCCACATTTTAGAGGTTTATTAAAAATAGAAGTCCTAAAAGTAACAAGAAAAAAATCATGACAGAAATACTAAGATATAGTGACATTCAGAATTTTGGAAAATTGGACTGACAATTATGTAAACTGCTGACCCAAACATCAAAAAAAAGCCCAACTACCTAACCAGGTAATACAATGTTTTTTTTAGATACTATATTCCAATGAAAAGAGTGCTTGGTTTTCATCCTCCACCATTCAAGATGGAAAACTTTTCTCTAAAATGGTGCCTGATATGGAAGCATCATTATTTTTTGTATATCTTAATAAAGCCTTCTATTATTTGTAGTTCTTTTATTGTAACCATGGAAGAGGTGAGGTGTATAGCAATACAAGAACTGTCATTTCTGTTAGGGAGAAAAATTGATAAAATGGCAATCACAGGACCTTAATGACTTCTATTCACAAATTGGATGGTTAAGGAAGTGAGGGCCAATATTCAGCATATTTGTTTTATAGCAGATACAATGTCAAGTCTAGAGAGGTAAGAATAATGCTACCAACTACATGGTTACTAAAGCAAAACATGGCTTTGATTCATATTCTTTGCATTGCTTTCAGAGCACCTGTTCCTTCATTCTATTATACTATAGACTCTTCTGCTTAAGTGGGTCAGACATCATGATTATTGCTATAGTTTCCAGCTGTGTTAATCAGCTGATACACCAATCACAGCATACCACAACTTCAAATAAAACAAAAGCGTTTTTGTGAGGAAGATAGTTTAAGACATATCCTAACCATCCATATTCTGTAATTAAAAAGAATTAAATTTTCTGAGGAAAACAATCTAATAAAACACAATGCAAACCAAGATATAGTTAGAAAAACTCAGATACTCATAGAAACTGAAATGGAGACCAATTAATACCTCCTTAGCACAGAGCAGAATTAATATGTTTCTTTGATCTGGAAAATGGTTCAGTGCCTGCTCATTTTTTGTGTTGGGGGTACCAGTGGGAGGCCTAAAGCTCACTTCTTGGGCCAAATTAACCAAGTTCAAACTCAAAACTGAAATGCTTGAAACACAACTGTGTTTTATAATAAAAGGAAAACTCTATTTTAAAGCAAGACTACATTAGGATCAAATATAAGACTTTTTAGATCACAAGACTTTCTCACTTTCTATATTAGACTCACGAGAAAAACAAAGGGGAAGTGTTAGGAGATCAGAACCTTAAACTGCTAGCATCAGCTTTTTGATAAAGAGTAGCTAGAAATTACTTTAAATTTCCCTAAGACCATTACTTATCTGAAGTAGCACTATTATAGAATACTTCTCTATTAGGGAAATCTCGTTGTCTTCCAGTCTAGTTATTATGAGTATCAGGAATAAAATATAAATCGCTCCTTTTTTCTTTCTCTCATTGTCTCTCTTTTTTTTTTTTCCTGTATCTCGTTTGGATAATATATTACATACATAAACTACATCTGTTCATAGTTGACAATAACTTATTTACGTAAGTCATGTCAGCAGTTTCTATGTTCAAAGAATCATGTTAAGCCTTTGAGCTCAAACCTGCTAGGTAGACTTTGAAGATAACTATTATTTTAGTTGCTTATTAGTGAGGAATAATAGCTTTTCTTAAACACTGTTCATTTGGTGACTCAGTTATTTACTGTCAATTATGTACAATTAATGATTGAACCTATTTCAAATGCAAAGGCTTAATAGCCCCTGGCTTGAAGAGGTGTATTGCTGTTATTTCCTCAAGTAATTATCTAAGGAATCTGTGTCTGGCCCAACCAGGTGTTGTCAAAGGCTTAAGTAGACCTTAAGGGATTATGACTCTTTATATACCGGAAGACTCTTACATTCCCCTGGGTTTTCTAGGATAAACAACCCCG